ATTTAGTTCAAAAAGGCTTCAAAACATCCAACATAAGTTGTGAAGAAAATCACAAGTTTTATCAGAAGTTGTTTCAAACCTTAAACATACAACAAGTAAAATGACCCCCACTCGTTCGTCCGCCTCGCCACCTGCTCAACATGAAAAGAGATAAAATAATGGGGTTAGCATACTACTAGCTCACCGTGGAAATACCGTGCACATATATTTAGTATAATAACAGAAAATAAAATCGCAGCATGGACATTAATCAATCAAATATTATCATGTCTCCTATTATGCCTAACATGCTCAAGTGTACAATCATACAACTGTTGGAGATCGAATCTGCATCCAACAACGGGAGCACATGTCAATGCTCGAATCCACACCAAAGACATGGCAACGGGAGACTGCCTCTAACCAGGCACTGTCGACGGTCGAATCTGCACTCGCCGATGGAGACAACCGTATAGAAGGTCGAATCCGCACACAACGATAGTTTTCATGGTCCACATGCATACATTGATTATGAAACCTAGCGATTATAAAGAAAATAGCACATTAAGCTTATCAACACCCACTTGATCAGTCGAGGTAGGCAAAATGCACAATGACAGCAGAAAGGTAGGTCAAGGGCTGGACTCCTCAAAAACCTACATTTAATCAAGATAATAACTCATAAAAATTATCTCGATGACTTGGAATTTCATTGAAAATTCCTACTTAACCAAAATTTATCGATTAAAGAGTTTGTGAAATTTTGTAGAATTTGGAACACTCGGTTTAAAGTTTCAACTAATCAAAGGTTTTTCACGTAATTCTCAAGGCGACAATAACATGAGGCTAAGTTATAAATTTTTTCCCAAGGCATAAAAGACTTAATAAGACATATGAGAATTCCACAGTTCCATAACTTATCACATAAAACACCACAAAACAAAATCTAATAATTAAACTAAGCAAAATTCTTAAAAGATTTCAACAGCGGCTTAGAATAATTATCGCGCTTCAGGAATCTACAAGCAAAGAGGCACGGATCTAATTTTCGCTCACAACATCGGCTACTCGTTCTCGGAACAACGCTCGGTGGTCGGTCAATGCTTTTTCAGATACCCATTTGATTTAGTCCACATTTATTTTTCCTTGATCCATTCATTCTCTTGTAGCCCAAACTTAAAAATTAGCCTAAAGCCCACTTAAACCTAAAAAGTCCAAATAGTTCTCCATTTCTTTTCCTTTTTCTCATTTTTCTTCTATTTTTCCCTTTTCTTTCTTATTTCCCGTCACTTTCCCTTCCTCAATTTCTTTCGGCCTCTTCCTCAGATGTAGAGATGTTAAACGGGTTAGCCCTGACGGTTTTGGGTTAGCCCTAACGGGCTTCGGGCTAAACGGTTCGGGCCTAAAAAGCCCGAATTTAAACGGGCTACCAATAAAAGGACCTAACCCTAACCCTAGCGGGCTTCGGGCTAAACAGGCTAAACGGGCTATAATAATAATAATATATAAAAAAAGCATATAAATAAAAATTACAACGGCTAGTTCACGATTGTTTTCAACGGCTATTTAGTGTTTACCGCTCAATATATATACAACTACATTTCATGTATGAACACTCATTACAAACTCTTAAATGACATGTTTTATCAAAAGAAAAAAAAAAAGATGTTCGAACTATTACATATAATTACCATTTTACTAATTTTTGTACGCTTTGGAAATTTTCACGATATTGTATCTTACTGTTAAATTTATATCCTATCACTATGTTCTATGTGTTAGGTATTTGTCTCATGTATTTTCTATTAGACGTTCTAATTGTCTTAAATAATTTTGTGTGAAGTAAAATAACGATATAGTTAATAATTATCTTTCAAAATCATAATAACCCACTACAGCTCATAGTTACATATAAAGTAGAATAATGAAGTTGTAATATACGTTAGGTTCGATACAATTGACGACCTTAGGGAGAGGAGCGAAGTTACAAATTAAACGGGCTAGCCCTAGCGGGCTTCGGTTTAAATGATCCGAGCCTAAAATCTCCTGATTTAAACGGACTACTAAAAAAAAGCCCTAACCCTGTTTTTTTCCGGGTTAAACGGGTCGGCCCGTCGGGCCAAAGACCGTTTAACATCTCTACTCAGATGTCTTCATTTCTCATTTCTTCCCACATATAACCCTCAGCGGCAGGCCCCGCAGAGTGGCTCGATGACCGGTGAATTCGGGGAGGACGAACTCCCAGCGTGTAGGCAAGACGACTGGTAGCAGACCCTGATTCGGGTCACGCGCGGTGCGGGATTCACGGATTTCAAGGCGGCTGACGGAGTGTGATCTGGCGGACAGCCGAGAGACCCGCGTCTAGACGATCGGAAAATTGACGGCGGTCCCATCATGGACAGGGAAAAAGGTGGCGGTCATCGACCGGCAGGGCTGCGCGAGAGGCGGGGCGGCAATTCGGCGGGCTCTGCGGCAGCATTGAGATGGCGGTCTATACTCGGAAACCTTGGAGGTGAGCGGAATCACCGCCATCTCAATGCTGTCGCAGAGCCCGCCGAATCGCCGCCTCGCCTCTCACGCAGGCCCTGCCCGTCGATGGTGGTGGTCTTCGAAAAGAGGGCTGCTGTTCGTTAAGCTTTTGCAAAGAGGCTGGTCGCTCCCAGCGGACTGCTGCGGGTCGCCTCGCGGTGGCGGCTGGATTCCCGGCGACAAACAGCGCTGCTGCGAGTTTAGGCTGATCGAACGTGGAGGGAGGTTTCTCGTCAGAGCGCAGGGCGTGCGGCGTCTTCCGGCGATGAGGGACTGCTGGCGATGCAGTTGCTGCTCGGCGGGTCACGGACAAAGCTCATGTTGGCGGCAAATTCGCCGAAAAAAGATATGGGCTGAGGGAGGGTTTTTCGATCAGAATTTGCTTCAACACTTGAGATAGGAAGAAGAACTTTAGGTCTGATTTTTTATGTTCCAAAAATATGAAGAAAACCTTGAGAGTATAATGAGGGGTTAGAGCATCTCCAACCATATTCTCTATCCATACAGTTTCTACAGTAAAATCACACTAGTTTTACAGTTTCAACAGTGTCAGCAACTTCAATCCATTCCCTCTATAATTCCCCTCTAAAAGAATATTCCAAGCATATTCTTTTTTAATTTTATTAGTTTATTAAATAATCTCTACAAAATACATTTTAATGCATTATGCTTGCTAAAATTTACATATCTATGAATATATATTAATTATTGATTAATAAGATTAATTAATAAATTTAAATCAAAATCATAAAATTACACATTGCATCATAAAACCACGTGGATTACATCACAAACATTGATTAAAAAAAATCAACACAAACATGGAACATTCAATACAATAAAAAATACGAAAAATAAAATACAATACTAGTTATTGCCATGAGAATATTTTTCCCACAAATGTGCAACCAATGCATTACGAATATTTTTTCCCACAAATGTGCAACCATGTGATCATTATTACACTACATTATTGTTGGACAATACCATGTGATTCTTGGATTGGATTCTAACCATTGGATTTAGGGCATATGTGGTCTAGACCATATATGGTTTAGGGCATATAAGGCCATGTGATCATTATTCACATTTTGGAAAATGATTTAGGGCATATATGGTCTAGACCATATATGGTTTAGGGCATATATTTACAGTCTAGATTTTCTTAGTGAATATATGCTATAAAACATATATGGTCTAGACTGTAAATATGAAATAAACTTGTTTGAGTGTGTTAAATTTTTATTCACTCGAGAATTCGAGCTTCTCTAATTAAATGCTCGGAGCTCCGAAATACTCGACAAATGTCCCGCATGACATAGTGTCTGAATCATCTAGACGTCCCAACTCGATTCTCGGTAAACCGAAGTCACACGCGACCTTGCGGGACCACCGTAAACGGCTTTTTTATTTATTTTACTCATATGCACCCTCGAATTCGGGCTACTCAAAATAAATGATCAGGTCCTCGAAATAATAAATCGACGCCACAAATGTCTTCTGCTCTTCTCGTGTTTTCTCGAAAGTATTTTCGCTAATGCTCGGCTCGCTTATCGAGGACCGACGGCACACCCGAAGTCGTGACATAAAATAAAGCTCAATTCCATATTTAACAAAAAATAAATAAAAAAAAAAAGAGCCAAGCGGGTGAACAGTGGAACGGTTGCCAAATCGTTCCACAAATTTTATAGTGGCGTTTCCTTCAAATATACAGAGCCCGTTGGAGATGCTTTTCCTCCATCTGTGCCGTTTCTTGCAGGTTTACAGAGTCCGTTGGAGATGCTCTTAGAAGGGGAAGAAACTTAGGAAAAATTTCTTGATTGCTCTTACATATAAGGGAACCGTCTATAAAAATTATTCGACTTACTAGATTAAATAGACGAGGACATCTAGTTAATCATAATAAACTTAGACGAGAGATTTGTCGAGCATTACAACTAAAATAAAAGCAATGCAATAATACGATAAATCATGTAAAACGAATGGGACACTACACGGGCTCTTTTAAACAAAAACCTTTCGGAGGCTAGGGAAAAACGGGTAACACACAAGAAAGGGAAACACACAAGAAACTCAAGTATAGTATATATATCTGAAAAATGGAAAAAAAAGTTTGAAAAAATTGAAACTGACGTGGCTGCTTTGGTAGATTTTATTTAGGTCAGCTGATTTGTGTATCCACACATTAAAAATTGAAATTTTTTTAGCTACCAAGTAATTTTACAACATAAAAAGAAAAAAAACTAATGTCAGATGGTTTAAAGGGAAAAAAAATTGACCATCAAAAATATGATTTATTTGATAATCCTTTTGTTTTGTTGGCATAAATGCCTTACAAAATTCAGATTGTACCAACGAAACAAAAAACAAATCAAATGTATAAAACATACTAAAAACGAAACTAATTAAAAGCTAAGACCTTGACTCCTAGCTAATTGAGGATCCATCATCTTGTACGTTCACGTGAATTAATAATTATGAAAATCGAAAAATTACATCGGTCGTGTAGGAGACGATGCCCGTATGGCCAACGGGGAAGTGCACGGTCTCAACTCGCCACCGCGCATGAAGGCTAAAGTCGATACCACCACGTTTTTCACTTTCACAGCCATCTTCTTCAGTTTTGGGTATCTCAAGCATTCCTCACGAGAGCCTGACCCGAGCTTGTATGTTTGCAGATATATCTGCCTTCTTCTTGCTCGGTCCTTCCTGTAACTCAAAGAACGCACCATACGGTTGAGATTTGAATTAGTCATCCACACGTGGCGACTGTGATGACCCTCTCTTCTTGCTTCGTCCTCGTGGCCGTAGGCATTGACTTTCGAGCCGAGACGAACTGAACGGTTTCTTGAAACTATGGTCGTCGACATGACTGGATCGATCGGGGGTTGCCCTTAGAGTAATAATATAAAATGTTTTTGATTAAGGAAAAAAAAAAAAAAAAGTGAATGGACCTTAGTTTATCAAGGTTATGAGCAAGAGAGAGTAAAAGTAGTACTGGCTATACATAAAACACACACACACACGATTTTATTGCACTTGATTTTGACTTGGCTTGTCTAAGGTGGCGGGCTGTGAAGGAGGGAAGAAAGTGTTGAATATATTTGACTATGATTATAAGACATGTGGGTACCATAATTGTCAATTATTTTGTATATTAATTAGTCAATATACGCTTACTCACACATATGTAAACAATTTCTTGTAATATGTATAATAATTATGAAAAATGTTAATGTCCTGTTACGGGATGGTTCAGTCAGTGTTTCTTATCGTTGGATATACGTTTAGATTTTGTTGTGTACATAATTTACGATAACAAAATACTGACGGAATCATTCCATCAACGAGACTGTAGTCGTTCCCAATCATTATATATAATATAGGAAAATTTGTGGTACTAACTATTGACAAACAATTTTAGGCCCTTTCGGCTGGCTTTTGCAAACCCATATAAAATCCAAATTCGTG